GGAATGGATGCTTCACCCCGAGGTGGTGAAGCAGATATGGAGAGTCTTTGGCCAGGCTCAGGTGGACCTCTTTGCGACTCAGGAGACATCGCAATGTCCCCTCTGGTACTCTCTGACTCATCCAGCTCCACTTGGCCGAGGCTTCGTCTGTAATGCTTTTCCCCCAATCGTTCTGCTCCCGGGAGTTCTGGAGAGAGTGCGCCGGGACGGGGTCCGTCTGCTACTAGTAGCCCCGTTCTGGCCGGGCCGCGTATGGTTCTCGGACCTGATTTCCCTTCTTGACGGCTCTCCATGGGAGATTCCCGTCTGTATGCCTTGAAACTGTAATGCCTTGAAACTGTATGCCCTGAAGTGGAAACTCTTCACTTCCTGGTGTAGAGATCGCCAGCTTGACCCAGTTAACTGCCTGGTCGGTTCAGTGCTAGAGTTCTTGCAGGCTAGATTCTCTGCAGGGTTGACCCACTCCACCCTGAAGGTGTACGTGGCGGCTATAACTGCTTACCACGCCCCTCTCGGTGGTCAGTCTGTGGGAAGTCACCCCCTGGTTACACGTTTCCTCCGTGGTGCGCTGAGGCCTCCCGTATGACCTCGTGTTCCACCATGGGACCTGGCCGTGGTCCTGGAGGCTCTCTGTAAACCTCCGTTCGAACCTATTGAGGAGGTTTCAGATCGAGTTCTGACACTTAAGACTGTCTTCTTGTTAGCCATCACTTTACTTAAGAGAGTCGGAGATTTGCAGGCCTTGTCAGTGGCCCCCTCCTTCCTAGACTTTGCGCCCGGCTTGGGACTTGAAAGTCTGGCGGCGTGGGCATCTCGTTCTCAAAGCGTTCGACGCAGCTCGAGTTCCTGAAGGGGAACGTCTCAAGGTTACGTATGTAACCCTAGTTCCCCAAGAGAATTAGACGCCGTGTCCCCTGCCATACTTCCGGCATCCTTGTGAGTGCTTCCCTCATTTTCCAGAAACTGCCGCTGTCTCCTCCTCACGTGCCTTTATAGCTTCCTGGTCACACGTCAACCCCGTCCATGACGTCGCGTCCATCCATTGGTCTGATTACACACACGATTCAGAGCATAGTCACGCTGAAGGCGTTCCCAAAGCGTTCGATGCAGTGTCTCGTTCCCTCGGGGAACTAGGATTACATCCGTAACCTTGAGACGATTATCTGCAAGTACAGTTTATTAAAAACATACTTGATAGTTTGAAGTACACTACAAGTGCACTTTCAATTCAATTAGGGCTTTTTAACCCCAAAACACTTAAACGCAAGAGGGTTGACATCTTTTAAAATAGAAATTTCATGAATTATTAACATATATTTGTTTTAAATAAAACGCGTGATTTATAACAGGGCACACAAAAAAGGCACCTACATTTCCTCAGTCATCTATTAGAATTATAAGTAACTTATAAGATTTCAAACTTACTGTGAAGTGGTTGAAATAATGTAGCGCTTTTAACCAATCAACAACTATTGTTACTTTTCAAGGCTGCTTTTATAGCTTCCTGGTCACACGTCCCACCAGCCGTGACATCGCACCCATCCATTGGTCTGATTACACACACGATTCAGAGCATAGTCACGCTGAAGGCGTTCCCAAAGCGTTCGATGCAGTGTCTCGTTCCCTCGGGGAACTAGGATTACATCCGTAACCTTGAGACGATTATCTGCAAGTACAGTTTATTAAAAACATACTTGATAGTTTGAAGTACACTACAAGTGCACTTTCAATTCAATTAGGGCTTTTTAACCCCAAAACACTTAAACGCAAGAGGGTTGACATCTTTTAAAATAGAAATTTCATGAATTATTAACATATATTTGTTTTAAATAAAACGCGTGATTTATAACAGGGCACACAAAAAAGGCACCTACATTTCCTCAGTCATCTATTAGAATTATAAGTAACTTATAAGATTTCAAACTTACTGTGAAGTGGTTGAAATAATGTAGCGCTTTTAACCAATCAACAACTATTGTTACTTTTCAAGGCTGCAAACATACTTTAGGGATCAGGGTAGGGCTGTGCAAAAAATCGAATGCGATTTTCATGCGCATCTCGTCAGTAAAGGCACTCCTGTGATTAGAAGTAAATCTCCAGCACGTGCGATCAGATGGAGCGGCATTTACTACACAGAGCCGTAGTTCACTGACAAGCTACACAAAATCACGTTCAAAATCGCAGGCGATTCATTGCCGATAATAGTTAAGATAGATAATAGATAATAGAACTGATTAATAGTTCAAGAATCTGCATTTGAAAAATATTACAAATACATATTTGTTGACCACTAATCTGAATATTAGATGCTCCTGGACTGATCAGACATGAAAAAATATGATTTCTTATGTAAAGCAATAACATTTTAAAAATGAAATTCTAAAAATTCTGGAAGTTTCAGGCACAAATTACGCTGTTTCCTGAGAACCAACCTATGGAAGCCGTTTCCATCACTGAATAAAAAAGTGCGACTTTTGATCTCACAATTCTGACTTTTTTTTTCTTGCAATTATGAGAAATAAAGTCGCAATTCTGAGGAAAAAAGTCAGAATTGCAATATAGAATTTCGCAATTCTGAGAAATAAAGAAAGAATTGCAAGAATAAACTCGCAATTCTGACTTTTTTTTCAGAATTGTAAGTTTATATCTAACGATTGTGATTTTTTTCTCAGAATTGTGACTTTTTTTCCTCAGAATTGCGAATTTATATCTCGCAATTGCTTCTCTCAGAATTGTGATATAAACTCGCAATTGCGAATTATAAAGTTCAATTGCAAGTTTATATCTCACAATTCTAAGAAAAGAAGTCAGATTTGCAAGAAATAAATTTGAATTGCGAGTTTATTTCTCAGAGTTGCGAGGTCATATCTCGCGGTTCTGAAAAGTTTCTCACAATTACGAGTTTATATCATGCAATTCTGAGAAAAAAAAGTCCAAATTGCGAGATGTAAACTCCCAATTGTGAGAAAAAAGTTTGAATTTTGAGATAAAAAGTCACAATTACCTTTTTTGTTTTCTATTCAGTGGTGGAAACGGGCTTCCATACCAACCAGCTCTATGTGGCATAAATTTTATTATAAGTGTTTTGGTTTTGACCTGTTAGCGAGTAGATCCACTCTCTCTCTGATGCGCTCTGAATAGATGTTGTTCTGACTGATGAGGCTCTCTCCCGCCTCTATGACAGCTTTAATGCGGTGGAGGTTGAGCTCCATGGTGGTGGTAAAGTCCTTGTGCTTTTTGATGGCTGCCTCCACTGTCTCCACTGTGGTGGGGAGCTCCACATGGGCCAGCGCTGACTCCTGAGGAGAGGAGAGAAAGACAGGGTGAAATACTGCATACAGAAAGCATCTAAAATGAGGCCAGATCAATTACACTAAAAGCAAGTCCATTATCAGGGTAAATGGTAAGCTGTTGGTGTTACTGCAATATTAAACATTAGAAACAATATCAAAGCTCACATATTCTTCTGTGACGATTCCACAAATGTTTTCTAACTCGGTCAGTTCTACAGATTAAAGATGCAAATAAAAACAGTCTACTTAAATTTTTCTTGCAAACATGTATTAAATGGAAGCAAAATAATAATTATAATAAAATAATTGTCAACTGTTTAGTAAATGTTCCCATTTAGAAAAGTTAAGCTCAAACAAACTTAAGGAAAAGTGGCTAATGAATGCCACTGCCATGTGTGTTTAGTGCAAACCAGTTCACACTCGATGGCAGTGCAGATTCTTATTCTGTACCCGCAGGCAACAGAAAGCGACTCTGGGCTTTTAGCAAACCAGAAAAGACACAGCTTCTAACATACACCCAGACGGGGTTGAGGAAATGCATGTCCTCTGACATTTAAACTGCATTATTGCCGCAAGATATTCTTATGAAGTGATGACCCAACATAAAAGCAGCAAATGTCTCAGAATATGAACTAAGCAATGACCTTAAAATACCCTGATGCTCCTGACATTTACAGACGTGACCTGAAAAAGATCAGTCAGATCAGTTTGTGTCTCCTAATGATCTGCTCTTTAACTAACAGAATGGAAAGTCGTACATGAAGTGTCTTAAATATCTCAATTGTTTCTCCTAGACAGCAATGAGATCTAAAGGAAAGCAAATGGAGACCTTTTGCAAATGGAAAACTAACGTTTTTCTCATTTGCATTCATCTTTTTACTCAGGTTTTCCTCATTTGTGAGGGCGAACTGGTTTGGACTAAACACACGGCAGTATTCAAACCTGCCATGTTTGCGATCAGTCATGTGGCACATGGAAACCAATGTCATTTGACCCCAGTTTCAGAAGAGATCTCAACAATATGTCAAACTGTGCTCTGATTGGGCAAGATATCGAAGTCTGCAGTCAACAGTTAGACGTTTCAATATGCTTACATTCAAAGCTTAAACAATTTCATCATTACCCAATTGATTTTAGTAAAATAAAAAATATATTTTTTAATTTTATGAGAAACATTTGAGACAAAGTTGGTAAATAAATATATTTTAAACATAACTGTATTTAACTTCTCTTCTGCTCTGTCACTTTTCTAGCAATTTGTTTAATATAAAAAGTTTGAAATAATTTTTTTTAAGTCTCTTATGATCACCCAGGTTGCATTTATTTTATCAAAAATACAGTAAAATTGTCATATTATGCAATATTGTTACAATTATTACAAAGTTTAAGCAGCACAACTGGTTTTAACGTTTATAATATTATTAAAGGGTTCATGAACTGAGAAATCAAAATTCCATTGATCTTTTAACAAATAAGAGCTCATTGTACTATAAAAACATCCTGTAAATTTCAGAACTCAAAACTTTCTCATAAGTCTAAAATCAGTTTATATTGAAGCTAATCTGCCAAAACGACAGGTTGTGGAATGTGCCACTTTATGATGTAATAGTGTGACTAAACCCCGCCTCCGCAGAAGAAGATCAACTCCTGCTTCTACAGCACTGTTTATCGTCTGTTTAGCCCCGCCCACCGATTCGAGCACATAGTAAGTAAATAACGAGAGAGGCAAACGCAGGTCTGCGTGTAAACCAAATGATAAAGATGCTCCGAAGACAACAAGACACTGTGCAGTGCCAAGTTGTGGAAAAACACAGTCTTCCATCAACAGGGTTTGCATTGCCTTCCTTCTGATCCCAACATTAGGAAAGAGTGGATGAACTTCATTTTTAATAAAGTTCCAGACCACGTCAGTAAGAACTTGGTCCTTTGTTCACTTCATTTTACCACAATTCGATGCAGGATATTCAAAAAGACTGAAACTAAAAGACGATTCTGTGCGACTATATTGGATCTGACAGTAACGTCGCACCACACAAGTGTGAGGAACTTTTTTTATTACGTGATCACTATTACTCTGTCTGTTATTACAGATCGTTTGATATGTACGGAGTATTTATGCATTTTTGACCTAAATCACAGCAGTCATCAATGAAGGCTGTAGGCTGTCAAACACACACAACTGTTAGCCAATCATAGCAGTGGGCGTTTACTTCAGAGTCGACAATCTGCCACGCCTATTCAAACAGAGCGTTCCCATGAGGGGGTCAAAACTGGACTGAAAATAGCTTATTACTTCTAAATTATGGTGTTTTTTGATGTAAAATCTTGATAACATTATAAGTAGACCACAGAGAACAATGTTACTGTTTTTACTGTATTTTTGATCAAATAAATGCAGCCTCAATGAGCAAAAAAGACTTCTTTCAAACACACACACACACACACACGCAAAAATTTAATTATTCAAAACCTTTTGACTGGTAGTGTAATTACAGGAATAGTTTACCCAAAATGAAAATTCTGTCATCATTTACTCAGCCTCATGTCATTCCAAACCTGTATAACTTTCTTTTTTCTGTGAAACCCAAAAGAACATATTTTGAAGAACTCTGGGGTCCAAACAACATTGGACCACATTGACTTTTAATGCATGAGGTTGAGTAAATGGTTTTCGGATGAACTATCCCTCTAAATATAACTACATTTAAGTTATAAATCATAAATGAGATCTCCTTTAAGATTCCTCATCTATGAAAGAGCAACCTCTGTGCAATAACATTTAGGAAACAGCAGTCTTCAGAAATATCTTTCAAATCTGAACTGTGCAAATGACACAAAGAGGTGTGAGGGGCTTCACCTGGTTATTGAGGAAAGCCTCGGCCTGTTTGACATCCCTCAGGAAGAGATGGAAGATGTGAGCTTGCACCAGCACTTCCCTCCTGCTCTCCCACATCTCCAGCAGTTTGTTCCAGCCCACGTCCAGCTTGTGCAGCCACTGCTGCAGAGCTCCATGAGGCAACGGCGCTTCATCCGTCTCCAAGAGCTCATTCACAGCCTGGAGACGCTCATAGTCCTCTTCGTACCTTCCGATCTCCTCCTTGAGCGCAGCGTGTTGGTTTATCAGCCGTTCCGCATCCTCTAAAGCATTGGGAAGCTCATCTGAAGCAGCAGCTGTCTGAGTTTGCACCAACCAGGTGAGGAATGAATCCAAGTCTTGGATGAACTGTTGCAAGCGGCCAGCGACAGTTAAAGAGTCCTCACAGCCTTGTAATGTACGCTTTAGCTCTTCCCACTCCACACTGATGCCCTCAAAGGGAACCAGGATGTCTATGGCCTTGTCCGGATGGGATGTGGCGAGCTCCTCCACTTCCTCCTGAAGCTGAAGGAGCTTGGGCTCGAGAACCGCCAGAGCTCCCTCCATGGTAGAGAGACGGCGCTGCAGCGCCAGAACGCTGCCCAGGTCACTGCCCACATACTGCGTGGCGTCTATGGCTTTCCGCTTGTCCTGAATCTGGGACTTGATCTCCGTGCATTCCAGTAAGTAGTTCTGGATGCGCAGGATTGAGTCCAGGTGATCTTTCTTCTGCTCGACCAGCTCCACGATGCGGTTCCACCTGTGATGTGCAAAAAGAAAGCAATTTGGTTGATTTTTGGATTTAAAGACACTTTAATCACTTGTATCTTTGTTAAAGTTCCATTTCAAATCTTGCTCCTTTTTTTTGTGGAAAGTCGGTATGTTCCCTGTCTTGCGTTGTAAATGTGTAATTAAAAATGACTCTAAACACTGATCTCTGTTAGCTTTGAGGTCATTAATATGCTAGTGCACACCTAAAAGTTGACAACCTTAGCTTTTATCATACACAAGTGCATGTAAAATTTACAGCTTTTCTCTACCAGGAAAATTACCCAAAATGTTGATGACTCATCTTGTTCACAGCAGGGTTATTATAGTCCACTAAAGCTAAAACTAAAACTACAAAAAAATAAACTACAAAAAAAAAATTTTTTTATAATTATCTGAAATAAAAATAAAAAATATATTTTATTTTATAAAATAAGAAACATTTCTCATTTTCATTTACTTCATCTTGATGTACTAAAATAACTAAAAGAATGTTAAAAACTAGACATATAAAAAAAATAATAAAAATGACAAAAACACTCAAAGAAATTATAAAATGTTAACTAAAATGAAAATGAAAAAAAAAAAATGCAAATGTAAAGCTATAATAACATCTCGATGCTAATAAAATAACACTGGTTTTCAGGGATGTATATGCAATTTTGTCCTATTAAATACTCTCTAGAACAGTGGTTTTCAACCTTTTAGACTTCAAGGCCATTCATTGTCCTCAACAATATTTCAAAGGCCCTCTATAACGTTTTTTTTTTTAAAACTTATTTTAATAGATGGGCTCTTATAATTTCTGTAAATTAAAAAATGATAACTAAAATAATTATAGTCAAAATAAAAGAACTACATTTCAAAATTCCAGAAGTTTTAAGAGCCACAGATCTAGAAGGAGAATGTCCTTCTCAATAATAAGCTTAATGTGATTTCACCAAGCAGCACTCGTTTCTTGAGCAACATTCTTGCTGGTTCTTGAATAAATAAACAGGTTTTATTTGAAAGTTTTATCAGCATAACTAATTTACATTTATGCATTTAGCAGAATTTTCCATGCACTCTTAAAATGTTCCTAATGTTTACAAATGTGTCTGGTGTAGACAGGGTATTGGTGTTATTTTCACACGGTGCTACACTATACGATAACAATACTATATAATGACCTCAAAACACTTTTGCATCACATAACCAGCTCCATATGCATGGCTTTTCTGACACAGTAAATTGCTCGATAGCGCACCTGGCTTGCAATTGCAAAGTACTCGGGTACAAATCCCGTGAAACACTAGTCAAAATAAAATAGCTCAAAAAACCATGTTTGCCATAGCAGATATGTTTAATCTCACATTTGCTTTCGTTGACACTATTGGTTAGATGTAGGGTTTAGGTTCATTATTTTAAAAAGTGATACAGCATTAACCTTTAAGTGCCACTCAACAAACATATCACTTCCAAACTGCCACGAAACGTACAAAAACCATGCACTCTTAAAATGTTCCTAATGTTTACAAATGTGTCTGGTGTAGACAGGGTATTGGTGATAAATGATGATCAAAATCTTAAATAAATCTTTTTTTTTTTTTTTCCCAACATTTAAATGGCAAATATAAAGTATGTTGAGGAAATTGAGGAAATATTTTTTGTCATACAATTTAATGAAAGGTGGGTCTATTTATATGTATTAATTAAAAAAAATTTTTTTATTAAAATGCAAAATTTGTACTACATCCCATTGTTAAGTTCATATTCACATCATTCTGTTACGATCTTGAGTACGGCTTGGATGATGCATAATAAAAAAGACTCGGTTCCAGAAAACATGACTCAGTCTGAATCATTCCCAAATCATGGATGCACGCACACACACACACACATCAAGGATCCATCCACACAAGAAACGGTCTGAGGACGCACCGGTGGGCCACAGATCAAGGCCTGAGACACAATATCACAAATCAAACATAGAGTAACAACAGGGTATACTGTAATGAAACATTCTTATAAATACACTGTGGCATGAAATATTGAAGAACATAATAGCTGTGAATGTACCCATAGTGCTCTGTTTTGAGCCGGGTCAGGCGCACCCTGTATGTGGCAGCCACAGCAGATGGCAGCACGCTGAGAGAGGCTATTTATGCCAAGGTTGGTCTAAAACGGATCACTGGAGTTTTTCACACATACGTCACAGTTTGCCAGTTTCAGTGAAAGCTTGTGAAAGCAGCAGCCCATTTTCTAAATACACCCATGTAGAGCCATGTGTTAAAAGTGATGAACAACAGCAGCATCAGGAATGTGCAGGGTTTTCTGAATGAAACCATTTCAAAATAAAACACAAGTTACATCAACTGAAAACAACTACATATCAGGGTAATGAAAGACTAACATGGCATAAGAGGATGGAAAAACATGCAACAAAATTAGCAATATATGAGAAAAAGACAAAAAGAATAATTGGCCAGAGATACTGGAACAGAAAATTATGATTTGTAATAATTAATTTGCGTTAATAAATCAATAAATAAATAATGCTTTTTTTGGTTTGAGCACAACAGTGCCCGCCCACTTTTCAGCAGCCTTGGTTACGGTTGGGTATATGTTTACTAATACACCTCACAGGCATTCACCTCACTAAACATGCGATACACAGCCAACGCGTCATGCAGCCACTGCTGCCGCAACACGCCAACTTCCGCCACCTCTGTGTAGAGCTGCTCCGTCTCAGCCATGCGCGCTCGCACCTCATCCAGCTCCCGATAATGCAACGGCAATGCAACCATGTGTTTCCGAAGGCCCACCACTTGTACGCGGTGTTTATCGATACTCTCTCGAACACCTCTGTGCTTTTTAAGTAGAGACTGCGTTGAATACTCATCATGTCCGAAGTCCTCACTAGAAACGAGGCGGTAAGCGTCCTGTAGCCAAGCTAGTAGATCGTCCGTCTCGGTGCTAAACTGAAAAAAGTCCAGCGCCTCCTGTAGGTTACAGAGTCTCTGTGTGACCTGGTCCTCCAGTCTCTTCCACTCCGCCTTGACCTCCATCAGTCGCTCTTGTATTCCTGCCGTACCGAAGCTCTTCTGGGTGAGGATCTGCTTGCCCTTCTTCATGGTCTGCTGAAGTAACGCACGTCGCGCCAACAGCTCTCCAGCCAAAGTTTTGTGCTTCTGCAGCAGTCGTAGGACGCTGCTCAGGTCTTTTCCGCAGCTCTGCGTGGCCAAGATGGACGTCTTCTCTCGGATCCAATTCTCCGATTCCTCTACCTCCTGAAAGAAGGCCCAAAGCTCGCGTGAATCCTCCAGCTCCGAGTGCCGTTTTGCAGCCAGCTGCTTTAATTCTTCTAGGCAGGTGTTGACGTGGTTGACCCGGTTACAAATTACCTGAGGGTCACACGGCTGGTAACCTGAGTGAGAAACAGAGACAAGGGAAGGAGCTTCACTGATTTCACCGATTTGTTATTTAGTTGGCTAATATAGATAAAGTTTTGTCAGATTAGCAAAAATGGCATGTAATAGTCTTGTAAACACTAAGAAAGTGTTGAATACAGCAAATTAATCAGCATGTTCTGCATCATTCGTTGAGAGTATTTATGAATTTATGGAGATACACTATAGCTGTATAATTTCTAGCTTGCTGCAAAATTTCTTTTAGTTTATATATATATATATTTCAATCATGACAACTCTCGGAACAGTATAATAATAATAGCCTAATAATATATATATATATATATATATATAAATAAGTTAAAAATGTCAGTAAGCCTTGTAAACACCAAGTAAGTGTTGAAAACTACAAATTAATCAGTATATCATTCGTCGAGAGTATTTATGAATTTATGGAGATATAGCTGCATAGCTATTTTCAGCTTGTTGCAAATTTTCTTTATAATATATATATAT